ACAATATATCATTTTTCAAAAAACATTATTATATGTTTTTATATTTTTTTAAAATATTTACCAAATTTTTTTTAACTCCTTTTATATAATTACTCTACCCCTACCTATTTTTTGATATGTAGTATTTTCATTGATTCGCATGTGGATTATGTTTCCCGGGTGTGCGATCAATCTAAAATATATCAGCTTTGGAAGATTAACGTAAAGGATTTGTTGTTAACAAGGTTCGCTTTTCCATCTTTTTTTTATCTAATTTTAAAATAAATTACAAAAGTTTTCCTTTTTTGTAATGTTTTTGGTTATGTTCCAAGTAAAATGCCTACATTACCCTTTTCTGTTTTTTTTTTGTTCATACATCAAAGGGTAACATTGTCAATTGCTTAAAACATGACAAAAGCATCACAAATATCTCAAATAAGCTACTCAAATATCTCGAACCAAATTATTAAATTGTTGCTCTTCTACACGAAAAGCAAATGGACCTGCAGAAAATAAATACAAATAAGTCTTCCGTTTTTCTTATTAAGCCATTGTATTTTAAAAATCTACCAAATATAGCATTATAGTTTCGAATTTTGCAAATAATCTTGATTAAGCCATCCAATTTTCTTTTGTATTTAAATGACCTATTTGGCTAGATTATTGTGTTTCAGGGGTTCCAAGTTCCTCCACTTTGGAATCAAGGTTTCATTATACATATAATTCCTTGGATAATAAACCTTATGGGCTTATAATTTTTATAATATTCCACTAATCTTTGCTAGCATCACTACACGTTATGATGTTAGTATGTAATTATTCCTGATCTTAAATAAGTTGGTATCGTCTATTTTGTTTGTCATTTACACTGTTACAAAAATGCTTATTTGATCAACAAAAATGTTAAAACCTCATAAAAAAAATTTAGCAACGGTTGACTAATACTTAAAGAGTAAAAAAGAATTCATGGATAATTCACTAACATCAAACATGGTTATAAAGATTCATAGAAAGAAACTTTCGTAATACCAAATAACCCCGCAACGCGGGGGTAACACTTTCCTAGTTTTAATTATAAAAATTATATAATTAACACTACTTAACTATACTTGTGTGATTATTGTAATCTATTTAAATAAAATTAAAAAATCATATATATATATATATATATAAAGTAAAACCATATATATAAAGTAAAACCATAAGTAATAGTATAAACTTAAAACTTTCATGGAGTTCATTTTAAGAAAATTGGTGGAAAAAAAAAAGTAAATCCGTTAAAAACAATTGCAAACTAGAGAACAATTTTTATAGATTTCATTTTCTCTTTAAAATAAGTATAAAAACTGGGAGCCGAGCCGATATAACTTTCATGTCTCAAACCTGTAAAAAGCGTCTTTCAGGTCTCATCTTGCCAAATGTGATGACATCAACAAACGACCTATCCGCTTTTCTCATCCAAACCCATTCCCTCCCATCAAATGGCCTCCGTCGTCTATCCACACTCTCACCACCCTGTCGCCGCCGCAGCGGCGCCGATTTTCCGAAATCAAACTTCTCCAATGCTTATAGTTCTTCTTCCTCCACCGAACACCGACATATAAGATCGGAGGAGAAAGCATGGGCTCACTGGAGGAAACTCAAGCAGCCGAAGCTTATAGTGGCGCCAATGTATGATGCTTCAGAGCTTCCCTTCCGAATGCTATGCCGGAAATACGGCGCCGAAGCTGCTTATACACCTATGCTTCACTCTCGAATCTTTGCGGAGAGCAATAAATATCGATCCAAAGAATTTACCACCTGTAAGGTACATAATCAATGATTCGTTCATGAAATTCAAATTTCATATAAAATTTCACATCCAATACCCAAGTTCGCATCAATTTCCAGTTCCAATAGTTTGAATTTGCCCTAATTTCAACCTCTGCCTCAAATTTCTTATTATTAAGTCGTTAAACACATCGAATTTTCGAATTCGACCTTTTGCTTCTACAAATCGATGATTATCCTTTCGAAACTCATCATTCTCCTATTCGAATTTTGGAGTTGAAAATATGAAATCAAAGATGTATTCTGATGAAGATTTTGGGTTTCATAACAGGAAGATCGTCCGCTGTTTGTCCAATTCTGTGGAAACGATCCGGAGATCTTACTCGAAGCAGCATATCGAGTGGAATCATATTGCGATTATGTCGACATTAACTTGGGGTGTCCTCAACGTATAGCCAGAACCGGAAACTATGGTGCATTTCTCATGGATGATCTTCCTCTAATCAAATCTCTGGTCACAAAACTAGCCACAAACCTCACAACCCCAGTATCCTGCAAAATCCGCTTATTTCCATCACTCCACGACACAATAAACTACGTGAAACTGCTAGAAGATTCCGGTTGCTCACTGATCGCCGTCCATGGCAGAACCAGAGATGAAAGAACAAAAGAAAGAGCCAACTGGGACGCCATTAAATCCGTCAAATCCTCTGTCAAAATCCCAGTTCTTGCAAACGGAAACATACGTCACATGGATGATGTTGAAAAATGTTTGGAAGTTACAGGTGTTGATGGAGTAATGTCGGCGGAGGCTTTGCTTGATAATCCGGCGTTGTTTGGTGGATTTAGAAGTGGGGATTGGGTGGTGGAGGGTGATGATGGGTTTGAAGATGGGGGAGTGGATCGAGGGAGGTTGGTGGTGGAGTACTTGAAACTTTGTGAGAAGTACCCTGTGAAAATGGGTATTATTGTTTCTCATATTTATGGAATGTTGGGGAAGTGGTTTGATTTGCATCCTGATGTGAGGGATGATTTTAATAAAGAAAAGGAACTTAGTTTTGAGTATATTTATAGAATGGTGGATCGGCTTCGGGCTCGTGGTGTACAATTTCCTTTGTATGTGAAGAAGATTCGATCATAAATTCACAGATTTAAATTTAAATTCGATCATAAATTTATAAATTTAATAGACTCTAAAATATATACAGATATATACGGTGTAGATAATGTAGTGATTATTTTGAGGAGTAAACAAATGATTTCACATAGATCTTACATTATATTGAAGTTGGTGTATAGGTTCTATGAGGAAGTGTTGGTGTTGGTCTGTATACAATATAGATGATGTGTAAATTTAGTTGAAATTATTATATTTGATACTAGGTGTATTACACGGGTTGATTAAAAAAAATAAAATATTAAAATGTAAATAATTAATATTTTTTAAAATAAAATTTTAAAATAAGGAATGAAGAAACATATTAATTGCAATTTAGTATAATATTTATTACATTTGATAATTTACATATATAAGTATTGTGACTTTTTAATTTTAAAAATTAAAAAAAAAAAACCATAAATTGACATGTGGATATTATTTATTTAAAAAATATCAAGTGTCAAAACTCATTAGAGATTGACATGTGGCAAAATCATCTTCATTTATTATAGTAGATTATGTTACATGAGTAACACCAACAAGAACAATGCTAGGGAGGGAGATTTTTTTTATAGATGACTTCTAATATGAAAAAAATGCAAGTCTATATTTGAATAATCTTTTGTATATGAAACATTAGCTGGTGTGTGACTAAGGAAAAAAATATTACCCGATAAAAATAAATGTAAAGAGGGGACAAACAAACAATGAAACAGACAATAAAACATAAATAAAGAGGTTAAAGAGTAGGAAAGTAAATTATAAAGGGTCAAAATAAAGTTAATCAGTGAATTCAGTTTCATGAGTGAACTAAAAGAACTGAGAGTGAGAAAAAAAATCAAACTGTTTGAAAAAGAAAAGGAACTTTTAGGTTTAATTTGGTTCTTTATGTATAAAAATCAGTGTTGTAAACTAAAAATCTAGATGGGCGAGTAATGGTCGCCTAGACATTAGTTGGTCAACAATTATAAAAAAGTCAACGGTAAGAATCAAAGTCAACGAAATTATAAAATAGTCAAATAATAAATAAAACGGGGAAAAAAAATACAAAATTAAAGAAAAATAAGTAAACAAAAAACCATAATTCTCACTTCTTATCAAGTCTCTACTCTCTTTCATGAACTTATTGTTTCTTTTCATGTCGATATCGACGTCAGTTATAAACTTAATGTATGATGATTTGTAACTTAAATGCTTAAACACTATATTATAATTTTTTTATTGTTATTTAATAATTTTGCTTAGATATTGATAATATTTATTTGTTTTTTAAGTAAATAATTTTATAGTTTAGGGTGTTCAATTAATCTTCGTCTACATCGATTAATCCCATGACCCAAGTCGACTGACTAGCTATCGCCGAATGTTTTACAACCTTTGATCAAGACCGGTCCTAAGGTTTTCAATGCCATGGGTAAAAACGCTTAATGATACCATATCCTTAAGGACATCTCCAACTCACCCACAAACTTCATTTCTTCCCCATTTCTTCTCCAACCCTACCCCATTTTCACCTCCATTTTTGGAGATATGAATAGTATGGGGGAATACTATTCATATCTCCAAAAATGAGATGAAGTTTGTTTGCCAATTTTAGTCTCTCTCATTTTTATTTTATATATTTCTAGTTTATTTTATCTATTAATTATAATTTAAATGCAATATTTAATATTTATAATATCATGTTATATACTAATTTATATTAATTAATCATAAATATAGAGTTTAATTAGTAGAGGAGTGTATTTGACAATATATATAAGTTATAAAAATGGAATATTCTAGGAATATACTTTTTGGGGTAAAAAATGGGGTAGAAAATGGAATAAGGTTGGAGATGAAACACTATTTACTCCATTTTTTACTCCATTTATGGGGGAAAAAATAGAGATGGGTTGAAGATGGTCTAAAAACAACTACCACATATAATGATATGAATTACTCATAAATCTATTTAAAATGCATGTATTTATGCAAAAATAATCCATAACAAGGAGCACCGATTACAAATGCCAATAAAAAAAACTTCTGTTTAGAAATAATAATTCAATTTCAAAGTTAGTGTTCTATCATTTATAATCAAATTGACTAGAGTAAAAGATATTGCCATTTAAAAAGCCAGAAAAAACAAAATAATTCAATTTCAAAGTTATATAAAAAAAAGATACTTCTAACATGCATCTATGAAATTAGATAAATACAAATGCAATGCTTTTTGAAAATATTCTAACCGAAAATCAAACAGAATTCCAACTTGAAGTCTGAAAGAATCAATGTTGTTTACTAACTTTTTGGTAAATTAGTAGACTTACTACTATCTCTTAACATGTATAATATATTCACTTTGTCTGTAATGCCATTTTTTATCATTTCAATGATCAAAAAAGTTACTAGAACTATGAATAAGATAATCAAAAAGTTATTAGGAGTATCAACAAGTTAATTAGCATTTCGACCGCATCATTCAACGGAGGAAGAGTGATATATAAGTAAAAACAAGAAGAAAAAAAGGTTGGATTAAATACTTTGTAAGGGCAAATTCGTCTTTTAAGCCAAAGAGCAAGGGACAAACTGCATGTTTAGACCGAACGGTGTGCAGTGTACCACACACTGCGGTATAATGCGGTGTGCGGTAAACACCGCACCAACCCACAATTGAAAAGTGTAGTATGCTTGCCGCGAGTCACAGTTTTGCCGCATCCTCTTTTTGTTTTGCCCGTTGAAATGTAGCCGTTGGTTTTTTTTTTTCCTTTCAATTTTCCTATATATTAAAATTCAATTCTCATTTCAAAATAACCAACAAACACAAATGTAAGTCCCTAATCTGCTTGTGTATCAATCAGATCCGTTTGATGGTGCGGAATCTCAATCAAACGGATGATGTCAGATCGAATAGAAGAGAAGGA